CTGACTGTATACCCCTCTCGTTCTCTGGTCGCCCGCCGGAGGAAGGTTTCGGAGGAAATTTTGAAGCAGGAGGTGTGTCGTTTAAGGCAGAATCGTATGCAATAATTGTAAGTTGATAATAATAATGAATTTTATTGGATATGTGATCATCCCGAGAAAATTATCCTAGAAGTCTGCCAGAACCGTGCTATCTTCGTGGAGTCGACACCTACACGTTTCAATAAACACAAACACGACCCCACAAATTGTAAATTTCTCATTGGTGAAATAATGGCTTTGCGCTAAGGTCAAATTGATAGCTCAGGAGTCGTAAAGCATCGAGGATAGTTTAGCTGACAAAGCTTCGTCATGCAATAATTGTGACTTGAAAAGTTCAGGTCTTTGCAGAGTTGAGAAACAGCAAAATTTACAAGCCCAAGTAGATTTTTACCTTAAAACGTGTCAAAATTGCTAGAACTGTCGAAAACTTCCTAATTGTAAGACCTACATTATTCTTTACCAGTTGTGGACAGTAGTGGTTTTTTTTATGAGTGAGCGGCTCAAAGAATGATTCCACGGTAAGGTCAAAGAAACAGAAACATACCTGGTAGAAAGACAGGGAGACTCTTTTTCCAAGGATATCTCATTGTGGTCAATAATCAAGTGAAGAAATACGCGGAAAAAAATTCAAATGGTTCTCGGCTTTTTAAAAAGCGGAGGTAAAATTCTAGTGAATTTTGTGCAGCAAGGATCGGTTTCTGTAGGATGTAATAAGGAGATTTCCAAAGACACGCAATTCCCCGGCAAGGATATGCTCCCGAGGACTCTATACCAACGATATACCGTAGCCCTCGCCGCGGTGCAGTGCGCCCATCGCCTGGCTAACCATTCGTTGCAGGTTTCTAGGCGTTTCGGAGATAGCGCTTAGCGTTGAAGAGGGATGCGTCGATGACATCGAGGTTGGATTAGTTGACAAGGAAGGGATCCCATTTCTTGGGCACTTCGCCATTTCTCATGGTTTTTTCTTCGTCCCGCCACCTTCTACAGCCCCTACCTAAAATCTGTTGAGCCATCTTCTGATCGTAAACTCCACCTCTAAAACCTAAACTGCTTGAAACCGTTGAATTCTTTTAATTAAGGAAATCGCTGAATTTCTGCCACCTCGACTCTACGGTCAACTGGCTGTGCATATTCACATGGAAACGCTCAGAAGAGTGAAGCTTTTCGAGGTATCGATTACCGGTTACCCTCGATCGATTCGATTATCAACTTTTTGCTTTCCCACTGCGCTACCCTCGTTTCTATGTTCTTGCTACATTCTCTTTTTGATTGAAGTTTGGATTTCAATTCAAATGGTTATGAATTTTTGTAGGATTGTGAGCCGAATCTCCTCTACGAACTGATTCTGAAACTCGAACTACGAGTCTATTCGCCGCTGGACTACGTGTGTAGAAAAGGTGACGTCGGTACAGAAATGTATATTGTGAAAGCGGGAAGCGTTGAGGTTGTCAATGAGGATGGCACGAAGGTAAGCGGCTTCGGGAAAACCCAAAAAATCACCAGTCTCAAGAGTTGCTGAACAGTTTCGCGTAGTTTTGAAAGCGTTCTTTTCGCAGCTCTGGAACGAGGAATAGTGTTGAAACACGTCAAGGGTATTTGGTGCGTACCACGAACGGAGCCCGTCTTAAGATTGATACATATAAGCCCCCATTATTTATTCATGGGCGATCAACTGTCCATTCAAGTGAACTTAGAGATAATCATTGGGATTTTTTGAAAAATTAGAAGAGCAAGAACAAAGAAAATCGAGCTCAGTTTTTCGCTAAAGCCATGAGATGACCGCCATCGTTTTCTATTTCTTTTGGTTTTCATTCTTGTGGGGTAAAACTCGGTCCAAGTTCTATTCAAGATATAATTTTATATGTTTTGGAGAATGCTCCGGTTAGCTTTACTATTAAGAATATTGGATTCATTAGCAAGGGAGTGTGCTGGCTCATGGATTAAAATCTGTGAATGCTTGGACCGAACCAAGTTCGGCCAGCCAACACGTCCATTTTGAATGCAACGGATATCTCAGTGGGGTCGATAACGAAATGAAAAAATGCGCGATAGAAAAGAGCTGTAATGGCTCCCTAGAAATCGTTTCAAAAACTGGGTGTGAAATCCTGATGAATGTTATGGGAACAAGGCCCGATTTCCGTAAGATCCGTAAGGCGCTCATGCCCTTAAGGAGAGGGGGGTGGCATTGCAGTGAGTGGGCCACTCACAGAACTCGGGACTAATTATAAGCCCCTTAGGTAGGGGTAAGATACTGGAAGAGGATGTGAGCAATTGTTCTCTTTGGTGTTTACTCCCAATCTTGGGCTTAGTACTAGTGTCACCTATCAGTAGTTTTGAACACCCTGTTTTGGATGTCCCCCCTACAGACATGAGCATCGCTGGATATGGTCATTCATTGCTATGGTTGATGCCCTTTCGACCTTGGCTGGACCACATCATTTTTCATCATGATTACGCCCGACTATGAAGCGTGCCAGAACCTCTTGCCGGTTCTATTCGAGAAATGGCATGCTCTGCGGTTGTTTCACTAGTTTCGAAACATAAACAAAGATGCATGGTTTCACGAGAATACTGTATCAACACTGTATCCGACACACAGAAAATAAGATGAAAATGGAAAAATTCGAAAAAAGCGCGCTTGACTGCGCCCTCAAGCTTAGCCTAATTCTGATCTACCCTGTATATAGATAAATGTTAAGAAGATTTTAAGATTTTGAGTTTCCTACCAATATTTAATCGTTTTCAAAATACTGGAATAGTTCCGACGCTCAGCACCGTTCTTCAGGTTTTCGTTCAACTTGGAGTTGGCACTGTGTTCGGGGAGCTGTCGATCCTCAACATTCCGGGGAACAAGAATGGAAACCGCCGGACAGCAAATGTACGATCTGTTGGATATTCAGACCTCTATGTGCTTAGCAAAGACGATTTGTGGGCAGCTCTTCGTGAATATCCGGAGGCTAAGCGCTCCCTAATGGCAAAAGGTGAGGTCAAATTTGTGCTATGAGTCTTACATTTGCGCTAATGATAGAGGCGTGAGATAAGGGTGAGATAGAAACCAAATCGTAAATTGTAATGTAGCACGTAGCAATCGCGTTATGCACCTTTCACGCCTCTAGCGCTATAATGTATTTGCTTCGAATGATAATAGGAAATTTTCTTCTAATTTTCGAAATTCTACATTGCAGGAAAAAGTATTCTGGCCAAAGACAATTTGCTTGAAGACGTCCCAGAAGAAGAAGAACTGGAACCGGATGCACCTATTGAGGAACAGCTGGACGCAGCTTCTCGTGCCATAAATGAAATCGAAAGATTACTTGACGAGGCAGAGAAAAACTTTCGGGTTGGTGAAGAAAAAAAGGTGCTATGAAGTAATCACTCTCAGAAGGTCCTTTCAGAGCCTGTTTCAAATAAGAACAGTAGGTACGAAGAATTTATTAATACAATTTGGCTGCGTACCTCAAATGTGTTTTGCGCCTCGTTTTGTGCAAAACTTAAAGGCAAACTCCGGGATTGAACTAGTGCTATCAGCGCTCAGTATACCTTAGCTGCGGAACGCCCTGAAAGTGGGAAGGAAAGCAAGAGAAATTCTTACGAAAGCTGAAACTAAGGTCTTACCCTTTAACAGGGTCGGATGTGGTACGATGGCGAGAAAGGGCGGTCAAAGAAGACAAAATACGCGAAAAAGAGCACGTCGTTTGAGAGAGAACGGTGATCTCTCATCAATGCACGCTGATCTCACCACCTCTCGCGGCGGGTGGGATGTGTTGGAAACGGGAGTCGATGGTTGCGGGCCGTAAAGGACTAGCGCCCTAACCGCGCAGTTTTTGCGACGAAGCTGGAGTGATCCAGTTACGTACGGACCTTACAATTTCCCCGTGGAATCCCTCCTACTAGTCGGGCTAATCCCGGGGTTTGCCTTTAAAAGAGCAGCCGTTTCCACTGGGATGCAGGCCAGTTGGCCCATGAATTGATTTAAGAAAGCAAGCCGACGGTAGGAAGTAGTGATTGCACTGAATTTTGTGCTGGCCCGCCTCCGCCCTCCGAAATCGCCCCTGTTTCTTTCAAGGCTCTTCGCGGGTTCGCGACAGCGTTGACAATATTGTTCAATTTTCATTTCGCAAGTTCATTCATAATCCAACCAGCTGTACTCAACTTGTTACCCACATATCCCTTCCAGGCAATCTCGTCCAAACGCCCTCCATCCAAGCTGAACATTTTCAAATTAGCAAGCAAAAAGAGGTCTTCATTTTGGGGTTTTTCTTCTCCCACAATCTTGCACCTCTATACTTACAGTTGATAAAATTCAAGTTATGGTACTCACTGCCTCTGATTAAAGAGGTCTTTTAAGTCATACTCTGCTTCTAAAAAAGCGTTTCTTGCATGACACAGAGGCACATGCATGCTACAGAACTATGGTTTTTTCTCTTGCTGAGAGCCCCCTGAATGCCGAAAACGTGGTGAAAATTTCATGCGCCACACCTTTTCAAAATAGATTTTGCAAATACCTACTCACTCAGAGGTTACTGGTAATGATATTTTCGGTGATACGGCATGCATTACTAGCAGAATGTCACATTTTGCGACACCATGCAAGTCCCAATCGGATGTGCAAAATGGCCCACCACAGGAAACGAACCTCAGAACAATTTTCATTCCCTTGTTGGCGTTCATAGGGCCGCTCAAGAAAATGCACGGGGCTTAAGCATGGAGCACGAGGCTTAAAGCTTAAGCTTCACCTAGGAAAGTGTTTTATCAGTTTCATTTTCGCAGACATCTAGGAAACAATTACTGAAATGGAATTTGCGGAGTAGTTTAGTTGTATGCAAACCAGATGGAATCTAACCCGCATAAGCTTTTGCAAACCGCTATTTCTCCACTTCTTAAATGCTTAACACTTAAACCCCCTAGGAACTTTTAGGTTCAGCAGCAATTTATTTTCTCCATTCCAGGAATCATCAGCGCGCACCAAACGCAAGCTGTTCAGAGTTGAAAGGGAGGTCGACAAGGAACTGAAGCAAATTTTGGAAGAGCCATCACCTTCTATTGCGTGCAGGAGAGCGTCCGCGCGTTAGCGCATCCTCCGGTGTTTTTTCTGCTTTGGTTGAGCATTCAATGCTGTAGCTGTTCATTTGATAACTTTCTCATATTTATAGAATAAATATTAAGCGGAGTCTCATCGTGGATCGTGCCAAGACCTCGATTTCAGGGAGGGGGGTTGTATTTCTACGACCCCGTCCTCGAC